CGGCCTGGATGCATACTGTGCCTGAGGAAAACCACCAAGAATGAAAAACAATTTGATTTCTCACAAAGTATAGGTCGAAACTAAAAAAATTTTCCACTTTTGTATAGCTAAATCTTTTCTAGGTAATCAAGCCCTATGGATAAAATATATGGCTAACGCGTGAGTTGTGGTTAGCAGCCTGCCAATGTTCTATAAGCCGTCCGCATTACACGAGTAGAAATTATCGACCGCATTAAGAAGATACACTCAAAGAGAGAAAGAAAAATTTGTTCAAAGAGCGCGGCGAGCTCTCAAAAATGTCTGTTCGATGCACAAAATGTTTTTCGAACTCTCGCAACCTATCGAAAATCTGAAATCCCAGCTGGCGAAATCGATTAACCCTCGAAACGTCATATCGATGGTTTACAAAAAGCGAGTATTCGACAATTTACCGCGTCTGCTACATAGAGGTCACCACTTCCATCAAACTTGATTCCGTAATTAGTATATAGTTGATTCAAACCACTGTCTGCACTGTCACTGACTACCACGGTACCAGATGTGATACCAGGTAACCATTTGGTCACGCGATTATTAAATGTTTCAGACACATACAAAGTTCCATACTGGTCAACTAAGACATATATTGACCCATTTAGCTGGTTCAGCGCTGATCCCACTCCGTCACCTCCGGTAACGATCGTACCTACATTTAAAAGTTTAAAATGGCATTTGTCAGCGACATAGAAGAATCAAGGAAAAAAAGCAGGGTAGTGTAATCCGTGTAGATACCAGACGGTGTGTCAAGTTGAGACAAACGTGAGCCTCTGATTGAATTACCACCAACCCAGCAGACTCGGCTCAGACGAGATTTTCTTTTCTCAATGAAAGAACATCAATAGTTCTGGCCTATTTTAAAAAAATTTGGGTACTCCGGTCAACTCAACTAAAACATACATCTGTGCCATACTCGAAAAGACTCTGTACTGCAAGGCGAATTTAGCTCACTTGGCGTTTCGAAGAGGTTCTGTTCACTTCTACAGGTATTGTTATAACGAACAGCTTTACTCTCTATATTACTGGCTATGACAACAATCGCACCCTGCAAGTTATGCAGGGTATGCATAAATCCCTGCGGGATTCGGTGAGTCTCTCTTAAGCCTTAAGAGAGACTCGGCGAATCACGCCCTTATAGTGAAAGATGAAAGTTTCATTTTTCGCTAAGTTATTTTCTTCTTCTATTATCTTTGTTCAAATAAAAGAAAGGAATACAACCTTAGTTATCACTTCGAGAGACTGTTAGTAACGTAAAATGCGTTCCATGCTTTCACGTTCACCCTCATTTTCTTCACAGAGTTCATTGGGAAATCGCAGTGTTCTTATTGTGAGTGCAGGAATTGCTGACCTGTATTGGCCGATTTCCTCCATCGTTTTGGTATGCAGCCTGTGGTGGTTGAGCGCGCGCCGCAACTACGGACAGTTGGTCAAACTGTCGACCTACGCAGTGCAGGAAGAGAGGTTGCACGGCGCATGGGTGTCGAAAGCACAGTTCGCGAAAAATCACTCGAGAGGACGGACTGGCCTTTGTCGATAACGTGGGACGGACGCGAGCTGCTTTCGGCGCAGATGACTTTGGTGGCCAAGGACCCGTCTCCGAGATTGAAATTCTTCTCGGCGAATTAGTGAATGTACTTTGAACCCTTTCTTCAGGGTGAAAACCCCTTTTTAAACTTTATTTTCCGTTTTTCGCCATGAAAGAAGTGTTTTCCAAGGTGGGACTAGAAGTACAAAAATGTCAAAAATTAAGTTTACTATCTATTAGTCTCTAGGCTCAACTCTCTACAGTGTTCGTGGAAAAAACTAGAGGCTAATTAAGCAAAATTACTAGTTTATTTTTAAGTCCAAAGTGAAAATTAAAAAACGGAAGGAACAAAAACATATATATTTGTATAGCCGTGTGATGTAGTGGACAGCATCGTAGACTTCTGATCTGGGTACAGGTTCAGGGTTCGAATCTCTGCACGAGCTGGTTCGTACTTTTTCTTCTTTGCATTTCTTATCTCATAAATAGTCTTAAAATGGTTTTGAAATGAGCTAAAAATGATCTAAATAGGATCGTAATAGGATCATATTTTGATGACCATAATAAGATGATATTTATCCCATAAAAAAATGACATAATTATGACTACATTATGATACAATAAATGAAATATATATGGGAGAGATATGATTTAAAAATGAGCCATATATGGCACATAAATGAGTCATTTATGGCTCATATTTTATCTCATTTTTCACGACCTGGGAATGCGCCGAGAGGACGAACGGTGTTCCTTGCGAGCGAGCTTGGACGCCATCAAGACCATACGGAGGCGTCCAGGCAGTATGAAGCACTGATGCGTCCATACGTTGCCATACCTGAGAGAATACCACCAGGAGCTTTGTGTTTTGCTTCATCGCAAACGTGTACCGGAATTGCATGCACAAACGCTATGCTGAGCTTCGCAGCCAGACCCGTCATGATCCGACTTATCACAAAAGTTACAGCAAAAAGACTACCGATAAAATTTCGCTGCCGTATTATGAGGCTGTATTGGCCCAATAGGCGCTACCGCAGGACAGTTGGCTTTGGTCACCCTTAGACATGAAGGACCATTTCAAATCATCCAGCAAATCGGTCCAAAAATATTTATCGGTCAGCATGTTTAAAAGCTAACATCGATCAAGCAAATCACCACCAATTCAGTCGTACCATTATTCGAACGAACATACTCAACAAATTAATTATGATCAGCGATCAATTGTAGAGAATGTCAACGATTTCTACAGAAGCCGGATTTCTAGACACGCAAGCGTAAAACTTGTCGAAAACATTGTTTTAAGTATGCCAGTTGATAGAGCATATATTAAAGCCTTTATGTCAATACATTTTTAAGCTCAATCATGATTTTTTAGCCGAAAAGCAGAGAAATCGCATTTGCGGTCGTGAGTCAAAAAGTGAACACCCAGGATTTGGACGGACAAGCACATGGTAGTTTCAAAATGGGATTCTTTGTAGAAAAATTCGACAGGAAATGCAGTGTATCTTATAAGCGTGATCTTATAAGATCATATAAAATCTTCTGACTTCTTATAAGATCGTATACTTTCTTACAGCTTCTTTCTGTAAGGTCTTATAAGATCATACAAGATCTTGTACATTCCTATCATAAGAAAAAGCTTGTAAAATCTATGACTTTTGAGGACCATGGGATCAAGTAGATCAACAGCGACAGCCACAGCGAAAGTGCAAGGACTCAGTATAGAACAGATTATGAGTGTAGCTAGATGGTCCAGCGTAAAAACGTTCCAACGGTTTTATGAAAGGGAAGTTGAACTGCGAAAGTGTTTTCAACAAACATTACTGGGATAATAATGTATACTTTGAACACACATATTAAGCTTGTAGTTACGGCAACTAAAGCTACGAAATGAAATTGAAAATTTTTTTACCTTTAGCGATATGAAATTGAAATTTATGAGTAACTTCAGTAAGGCAACTACAAAACACCCGCCCTCCTAAACACAGGATAATCGGACCGTTTTATCTTTGTCTCGTTTAGAAATCATTGAGTATCAAATCACAAAACAACGTCTACGAAATTGGGCATGAAATAATACACATTGAAGATAGAGTATAACTTGGTTTTGTATTTTGTATGAATACAGTTACTATTGAAATAAATAAAAGTAGCAAAGGGAACTAGAAGGCAATTGTGCTTTGCACAAGTTGCGATGTCGACAGACTTTGTATGTGCTGAATAATGACAAAAAGCGCTGCAACACTAGATGAGCTCATAATAACTCTTTTCAACATAATAGACGGCAGTGTACAGGTACTAGAGTGAAATCTGTCTTAGGTGTAGAACTAGAAGAAAGAAACATTAAATCTTCGCATAAGTAAGGCCGAGCTATTGTTTCTTCTTTCATCAGATACCTAAAAGAGATATCTTATGAATTTAGAGTAGTGAATTTATCTTTCTTCTGCTTCTTTTTCCTAATACTCCTAACAATCTTAATTATCAATAACTTTATATCTTCTTCTCTATTTCTTCTTATTCTGACCAACGAATCTACTTTATCTTTTTAATTTTCTTCTTGTCTCTCCCGCACTAACGAAAATTCTTTTAAAGAAATAAACAGTTTATTTTGTTCTCAAAGTTCTCCTTAAAAAATGGCACCGACAACAACACGTATAAAAAAATTCGAAGTCCAAAATACATTTTCAGTTACCTTATTCCATCTTAAGGCGTAGAATGTGAACCACTGCTCGAAAAATGAATAAGCATCGATTAATCTCGAGTATATCAAGAACAATATCCCGTTTTCAGAACTTTTCTAAGTAGCGTAGTTCTCTAGATCATGAGGCGCACATTTTACACAAAACATCGACCAAAGAAAAAAAAAAAACATTTTTCGCATTAAAAACACATAATGTCTGTCGACATAAATATGTCTTTTTCGTTCAGTGCGTAAAGGAATGACTGATTTATTTTTCTTTGAAGAGCTTGGCGCAAGTAAAATGAAGGAAATACATATTAAGCTTGTAGTTACCGCATCTGAAGTTACTCATAATATTTCAATTTCATATCGCTAAAGCTAATAAAATTTTCAATTTGTCAACAGCTACAGTTGTAGACAAAATGCAAATCAATGATAGCAACGGTAGTCGATTTCTTATCATCAATATGATATAGTTGGGATGTGGACTGTGATTGATGTAGAGCTTAAAAATTTCATGAACATTACTGAACATCGTCGATTCGAGTTATTTTTTTATAAAACAATTCAGCTAAATAATTTTGTCGTTGTCAAAAATAGAAACAGTGTGAAGTCAAACTCAAAGTGTGATTAATTATTTTTTACACACTCCTATAAAAAAAAATTTTTTGATTCTTTACTGTAGTGTAACACGAAAAAGCATGTATAGTATTTTATTCGTTTAAACATATTTTCTAACTAAAGTGTTTCCATCCAACTATGTATTCTTATGCTCAAAGACCACCTGTTCGTTCGATAAATATTTTTCCACCATTGATACCAGAAACTATACCCGATGTAAATGTATATCTACCACAAAACTATATGGAACCTGCTTATCGTCCCATGCCATTTTCAAATCCATATTATTATTCTAGTCAAGATATTTATAATCCATCATGTCATGATAATCGTTTACGACCAACTCAAATCGATACAAATATTCGCCGAAATAATAATAGAGAAATGAATAATGACCTTTATGTAGATGCAACAAAGTTCACTTGCCAAAGACAACACTCTTTTCCTCGTCTAACCAAAACAAAAGTTCAAACACACGATTTTGTTCCAAAACTACAACAACGTAAAATGAATACACAAATTTCAACTTACAATTGTAATGATATAGACGATATTGACTCAAAATGTGTTACGAATAACTTATCCAAACAGCGAATTAATCAACATTATCTTTCTGATGAATGTGACAATAATGAGGATGACGATGATGAGGATGAGGATCAACAGTTTTTGATTAAACAACATAAAAAATGTGTACCTACTAGAATAAGACATCATGTTTCACTCAATCACCGATGCGCATCGGTTGCTTTTCACTCAGATACGGTGCCTCTTCATCATTCAGCTGAACCTTACATTCGTAGACGACCGATCATTAAAGAAGTCATACCAAAAATGATAATGAAAGCAAGATATGATGATCCAGCATCAGTATGTAAACCTTCAAAAAAAAATAAATCCGTATTTGACGAACATCGAACACGAAAGATTAAAATACGATCTCTCTCACCTATCTTCTAAACAGTTCAAGCAACACGAAGGAAGAGAGCCGATTTTCGAAGGAAGAGAGTCGAAAGTCTGTTTCTGAAGATAATAAATGTAAAGCCATTTTAAAATGTTTTATACGTACGATTATGTATTAATGTGACTGGATATATATTACATTAATATCCTTTCAAAGGTATGTACACACAATTTGCGTTATATGATTAAAACTGATAAAATAATATCAATATCAAATTCTAGACCTTAAAAAACGCTTTCTAATGCCCCTTGGCAAAATTTTCGCACTCAAAAACTCTTTTTTTTTAAATTTTGCCAAGGAGCATCAGAAAGCGTTTTTTAAGGTCTAGAAATGTACCAGTTTTAATGCCGGAGAGAAACAACATCAAATCCTTGTACAGAATAATTATCTGAGAGGAGGCCGATTTTGCTGCTTATCAAGCCCCTTTCCTCCTTTTATCGTATTCTTTTACTTCAGTTCAACTAAATTTGTAATTTGAATTTTTAATTAATATTATTTTATGTGTTTTATGTGTTTTGATCATATAACGGAAATTGTGTGTACATACCTTTGAAAGGATATTAATGTAATATATCTTCAGTCACATTAATACATAATCGTACGTATAAAACATTTTAAAATGGCTTTACACTTATTATCTTCAGAAACAGACTTTGAAAAAACTTGTAACAGTATTCACACATAATATTTTATTTATTTATGTGAAAAATAAATGAAAATGTAGCGGAATGGCAAAGCGATTGAACAATAACAACAACAACAACAACAACAACAAAGAAGCAGAATTAAAACAACAAAAACAAAAAAATAAATATATTGAACAATAAAAAATCAAACTGATTATAATAAATTGCATTATAAAAGACAACAAATTTTTGTTTTCCTCTCTTTTGAGTGACCACTATCTGTTCCACCATCAGCGCCAGTTGTACTCGCGTTATGTGAACTAAGTTCTCGATTATTCAAGTGATGATTATTGTTCTTATTATTTCTTGTGACATTATTTCCATCTTTTTTACTATGACTACGTTTATTCTTTTTGAAAAATTCACGACTATGAGATTTTGACATTGGATCAGGCTAAAAGAAAGAAATATAAGATTATGAAACTTTAACTATTATAGATCAAACAACAATAATTCTTATATTATTGTTGTTGTTATTGATAAGAAATAGAATAGTGCTTAGCGTGCTGTCGAAACTAACCGATATCACTAGAATATTTGTGATGACAAAAATTATGTTTAAAAAAAATCATCCACACGCATACACATAAAATATTTGTATCGTACACTGGAATAGTATACGATTTCAAATCAAACAAGATTTTATTATCATAAAATATTACTTTTTCGATCACTATTCAGCGTATTATTTTTATCATCATTATCATCATGTTTTGCTAGTGTGTCATTTTTTGTTTTATATTGTTGTTTTTAGACATGATGAACTATGTCGTTTACCTAGACCACCTTTATGATCAACAATGAAATCGTGACGTTTCATTCCATATGGACTAAGTGGTCTGGCTGATATCTGTTTCCATCCTTCGCCACGCGCTTAAACAATAATAATAACAGAGTATTTTTTGATCGTTATGTATAGTTAAAGGAAAGATGGTTTACCATCACCACCACTACTGACGGAATTATTAAATAAATGTTGTTGTTGTTGTGTTGGTTGAGCATGTTGCTGATGAGTACCACCATTTGAACAACTCAGTTCACTATGTCTTTTTGATTCTATCGACCAATTATAATGTCGTCTTCCTAATAAAAACATAAGCAAAAATCTCCTTAATTCTTTTCGAAATAATTCTCCGGTAAATGTATATAAATAGAATCCACAACCATGATCTAAATATAATAAAAATCTCATAATACCATCTAATAAAATTAATATATCTTTATCAAATTTTAAATATGGTTCAATTATTGAAAATATTCTCATTGGAAATGTCATAAGTAAAAATAAAAATGTTGATACAAATAGAATATAGGCCAATTGTGTATCCTTGTGTGCTTTTGTTTGTCTCATATTTAATTTATTCATTAATATTCGTGACATACAAACACTATACATCAGACTTAAATTGGCAATGAGAATTATAAAGAAAGGTATCAATGAATTAAGAATAAAATCCATCCAAGTTAAATAATGTTGGTAAAAAAGTTTATAATTCTCAGCTGATTGTGTCAAATTAGAACGGCATAATATATATTTTTCTTTTTTTAATATTGTATAATTATAATTATCATCTGATTGTTCAATATGAAAATAAAGAAGATAATGTCCATTTAAAATGAATAATATAGTAAAAATAATTATCAATATAAGATACGAATGATTTTTACTAAATACTTTTTTATTCCATCGTTTTGTAACAGCAGCACGTTCCAATGATATCACACATAATATCCACACAGCACAATGATTAAAATAATTGGTCATAAATTTATATGTCCGACAAATATAGAGTGAACGTCGTAAAAAATGTGATGTAAATGTATATCGAATTATCAAACGTACACAGTTTAGAGTTATTAATATCAAATCCTAAAGAGAAAAAAAAATGGATAAAAGAACGAAAACAGGGTTTTCTAGAAGTATTCATGAATAAAAATCCAGTATTTTTTCAGTTTTCAAATTAATGAGTCATCAGACCAACGATATCTAATATCAGAAAAAAAGGAGAATTTAATTTAAATCTCGTCAGATTATCAAGCCATGTCCTAGTGAATGTACTTGAGATCAAGTACTTAGCTGCTTGCAAATTTTCTAAAGTACTTGGTTGAGCACTTGTCAAACATTTTTAGATTTAATACCGTGCCAAGGAAGAACTTCGGATACTTGCATATATTTCACAAGTACTTACGAAGTTACCTGCCAAATAGTTGATGAAGTACTTATCTAATACTTATACTTATTAAATTACTTGATGAGTATCTTTTTTACTTGCAAAAAAACTCCAGGTACTCTGGACATTACTTATCCAAGTACTTTTCTAAATACTTGGTCTCAAATACATTCACTAGGGTGTGCCTTCCCATCTTTCCTGGATATATTGGGAATTAAATATCACTCCGAAAATCTGCCTTTAAAAGAATTTTTTAAGCTTTTTTTATATAAAAAGATCGGTCTTTTCTATTCGATTATAAAAACCTGCACACTAAACTTTATTGAAAACGAGTTTATTCTAATTTAAAATTTATAATAATTGATTGAGTTTTTTCGCTCATTTTACTTACCATGACACTCTCGGCTACAAATAATACTGAACAACCAAATTTTTTAAATTTTTTTCGTGTAAAGATGATGATTGTTAATAATGAACCAATGATACCAAATGGAAGTAGAAACCAAGGATAAAATTTATGAAAATTAATTGTAAATAAAATTGCATTTGATAATGGATATTTTGTTTTAGAATATATTGGTAAATTAAGATTATCAATAAGCGAATACAATTGATAATATTCAAAATATTCGATATTCATTTTTAACTAGTAGAATAAATAAATATTTTTCATATACATAGATAAATTGGATATCATCATTGATTGACAATGATAATGGTGTGACCAATTAATTAATGATGACTGCTGTTGTTGATGTTAATAACAACTCATTTACTGTTCTACGTAGAATATTGGATCCGTATAAAAAGAATTTTTATCGGACAAATGAGATAAAAATTTAAAATAGAGAGATAAAAAAGAATTTTTCTTTCATCTCGATTTTCTCTATTTGTTTGTTCTAATAACAATATCAATAAAAAATAAAGAAGGAGAAAAATGAATAGGCATCACACAATACGAATTTATAAAGACTGTCGCAAGGTTGAAACAAGAAGATAAAAAACAAACAGTATTATTATTATTTATTAGAAGTAGTAGTAGAAATAATATTCTAAATGTCAACTTGATATAAATTCTGTTATATCACCACATATCTATCACTCGTCACGGGTTTTACACACATTAAGCAATGACGCATTTGCAATTTTTACTATTTGATCTGCGTTTAAAAACGAATTCAAAGTTCAAAATTTTGAGAAATGTTGATGTAGAACAAAAACGAATTATTGAGAACGCTATTAAACTTAAATATACTAAAAATATCGATGAATCATGCATGATCACTGATGGAAATTCGACAAATTTGCAACTAACTACAGGGAAAAAGGAAAGCACACTAAATCATACAAATATGTTGAAATTAAAGAATCGAGGACCATAATCAATAGGGCTTCGTGTACACAATTGTTTCTAGAAACTTATATACATTCTAATAATTGTCAGACTATGATTATGAGAAATCTAACTGGAGTCCTGCGGGATAAACTTTTTTATTGCTCTGAGTCTGATCTCGAACACAACAGTTTTTGTCTCGTCTCGTAAGTCTGAAGCTGTGAGTAAAAAATGTTGTTTCGAGCCCGTTTGTTCCGTGAAAGAAATTTGTGGGTTCTTTTTGTCCTGTCAGTTTGTGAAACATGTTTTCTGTTGAGATAAGCTGTAACTGTTACAAGAGGCACTTGTGCGTTTAGACAAAAGCTGAAAACTGTGCCATTGATAGCCGTTGTAAGCCGAACTTCAGCCCTTAAATTCTCAACTTATTCTTTACAAAGTTCCCATGACAAAACTTATGTCCTAAATTCGTTGACTCTAATCTTGAAAGTTGATTTTTAGAAATAGAGAATTAGAATCAGAGTTTTAGGTGTAAAACATTGATGCTCTCAAGTTTCAATCGAAACTAGTTCGTCTCTCCTAATTACTTTTTATTGGTTATTACAAGATTACAGTTCTGATTTGTTCGATTACAGGAGTTAAACATTTGAAGTTGTAGCACAATTACAAGCAAAATATAAGACTTTCGGGGCGACCACTTTGTGCGGTTTTTCTCGAGTCTGCGAGCCTAACTTCGTATTTGGCCAGGAGAAGGGAGCAGATGAGTCGGGATTAGAGGCTGTCCCCATACGGCTATAAATCCAATAAGAATAAATATGGCGAACATGATATGAAAACAAGATTGGTTTTTCGGTGAATCCATTTTATACTCTCTTATGTGAACGTGAGTTTCAAAACTAAAACATCGTATTTTATAGTTACTAATGTAGAACGCTATTTTGTCCTATACTATATATATGAGAGAAACGTAACTTTCTAGTACAATCACTTGTTTAGATATGTTTCTATAATAACTCAGGTTACAAGAGGCTCGCTTGAGAAATATTTTCCTGTGCTTTGCCTAGTACTTTGCCCACTTCCACAAAAATTTTCTACTCGATACATCCTTCCGTTGCAAAGTTATGGGACTCGAAAGTTGAAAAAACTTAATTTTCTGATGACTCATCATCTGAAAATTGAATTTTTGATTATATAAAAAGAAAAGGAAAGCAGTGCATCCTGTAGAGAATTGAATTGTGAATCTAACCATATGATTAGTGTTCAACTTTGCTTACTTTTTTTTGTTGTTCTTTAGATATAATCATTTTACAAGCATCTTTTCCGTTTTTTGTAGACCGACCTTCTCTTACAGTTTTTCCCAAAACTCCGCCACTGAAGAAATTTTCGGAGTGGCTAAATTGTAGATCAGACGTCGATCTACAACTCTATTTAAAAAAGAATCCAGTTTGCATGATTTCGTAGAGATAAAAACAGCTTTCATTCTCAATTTCCGCTCTAAATGTAGACTGACCTTTTGCAACTTGTTTTGCTCAGAACTAATGAAGCATGCATTCGTTCTCGATGAAACTTCTACACTAGATAGAGCATCAAAAGTTGTACTAGCAAAAGTAATTTCAGATCGAATTCTCATTTTGTTCCTTACTATTTTTACATTATAGGGGAAAATGTAGACCGACTTTTGTTTTTAACTAAATGTAGACCAACCTTTTTTCGTGAGATTTTTGGTCAAAGCTAAACGAAAATCATCAATAC